TTTTGTACATAAAGTAAAAAAATAAACAAATCGGAAGCCTTGGCAGCTTTCGTATTTAGAGTCTTCCAATCAGCAATTTTGTTTCTAACCAAATGCAGAAATATTGGCAAAAAATACATACTGGAGGATGCTCCTAAAAACTCACAGAACAGATACACAAGATAGGGTTCCTGGAGGATCTGTGGAAGAGACTTTGGAAGTGGGAAGAACACTTTCACTTCCATGTAGTTAGAGCTTCTCAGAGCGGCGACTAAACACAGGATTTCTTCGCTGCCGCTGGACTAGGAGTTGAGAAAGGGAGGAAGCAAAGACTGGTGGTACCTGCCTACGCTCCCTGCCTGCCTGCCCTCTGCAGCCACTCTGCCCGTGGCCTGCCTCCCCAGCTCTGCAGTCTGAGCGGTCTCGTACCAGTATAGATGAGAGTGGGAACAGACACAGAGAAGTTCTGAGTAAGTCGTGAGCCAGTAGCAGTGTGAATTGGGCTGTTGTGAGTCGAGCGGCATCCATGGCTTGGAGGATGAACCAGCGGAGACCTGGGGGAGTTTGCGGTCAAAGTGGAAGAAAAGAAAACAATACATACAACAGATAGCAAAGTCATGTTAAAATAATTTCAAAGGCGCTTTAGTTAGGGGAGAGGAATTATTATTTATTCCCTGGCATGCACAAGACAGGTTGAAATGAAAAGGAACAGCTAATTATTAATTTGTTAGGATACAGGTATCAAGGATCAGATTAATAAATTAGGACTGTGAATAAGAAAAATTGCAAGCAGATCTGTGAGTGGCATTAGATAAGAAAGACTAAGATTTGGATTTTAGCTTGCTTTGAAATGTTTGTTATTATTTTGATCACCATAGAGCTTTCTAACCAGTATTTCAGGGAGAAAACACTCATAAAAATGAAAAGTCCAAGGTGAAGTTCTTATACTACCTTTGAAACTGAGATATCAATAATTGCTGATGTAATTAATTATATTTTTATATGGAGAAAGTTTATGTAACAGAACTGTTTCCATCTAGGATCTCAAGATAGGGGTCCTTAAGAATATAAAAAAGACAGACAGCGTCAAGAGAAAGGAGTGAACTGAATGAGTGTAAGCAGATCTGATCATTCCATATTTCAGCACACCAAGTACAGAGCTTAGAACCAGGCTACACTGGGAACAAAACAAAGCAAAGGCGCACTGCTTTTAAAAACACATTAACTAAGCAATATGAATGACTTTTGTCTAGTTCTCTAACAGAATATATTATTTAAACTTAAACAAAACTTATTTAAACTACATTCTGAATTGAAATTTTGTAAGATATCAACTTACATCCGGGAAGAGACCGCAGCTATGCACGTGTAAAGATTAGACCAGACACACAGATATGTATTCATCTGTGTCATTTAAAATTTTCATGAAGAAATTTAGCTAAAAGGGTTTAGTGATAGTGGATAAGGAAAAATGGTATCTTATATAATTAAGAATCCTAGACTTCATATTAGCAATTATTTCACTGTGTAAAGCCTTCCCTTAAGCTCAGTGAGATGAAAAGAATCATAAGTGACTGCCCTCTGAAAAACTATCATATTCCCATTTTTCAGAATTCAAGTTGAAAGTAGGTCAAGAGCACAACCTTCCCTGGCCTTTTTTTCCCCTTTTCCATTGCCCAGTGAACATTCCCAACAATCACAATTTGTCGAGATTCCAAACATGAGTTACCATTAATGGACAATAATGGTCTTTTGTAGGGTCAGTAGGCTACTTTCTGAAATATCATTGCTTTTACAATAGGACAAATGATTCTGCTTTTGTTGCTAATTTAAATTTTAAACGTATTTGATATAAATCAAATATCCACTGGTGATCAGTTTATATACAAACAATTGAGTGAGGCTTTATTTTTGCTTCTTCTTTCTCTGTTGAAGTGACTAATGGAGTTTAAAAGTCTAAGAATCAATGCTGTACAGAGGATAAATTATGGCTCAAGTCTCCTAGAAAGTACTTTTTTTTTAAAGTAGAGAATTGATAGATCATTTAAATGCACTTTCTACCACCAGGATAGTTCAACTAGGGAACACCAAAGAGACTTATACTAAACATCTAAGAGGAAAACATAAACTGATGGAGTAGAACATACCATTAATAAAAGTAAAATAAAATGAATAAAATAATATGAACATTAAAAATAATAATAATAATAATATGAACATTGATAAACGTTCAAATAATGACATCAAATTAAAATCCAAGGACACTGCAGGGATCTTCACCATAATGTATTCCTGGAGTCCTAATTCTTTCAGTCTCCTTTCATGAAAGGTTGCCTTACAATAAAACCCTAGTGCTATTTCTAACATTAAATCCATTCAGACACGGACATAATTCAAACTACCTTTTATCAAATTCCTGTCTAGAATCAAGAATGTTAAAATTAAATACCAGAATAATTATAATCAGCTGAGTCAAACAATTTTAAACTAGCACCCAAAGGGATTCATTATCAAAAATAGAAAGAAACTGCTTGAAATAAAGCGGCCTGAGGGTTTTGTTTTGTTCTTTAAATAACATGACTTAGGTAGTAAGATGCCATCAGAAAATCTTAATGAAGCAACTTAAATTCTTCATGGAGTGAATGTTTGATAATTTAAGGCAAATGGCTACAACAAAATTAGAAAAAGAGAAAACTTATTAGACAATCCCAAATTTACATTAATGGAACTCTTCCTGAATGTAGGCAAAATGTACTCCTCCATTATCCATATACCATTCTAAGTACAGCTTTCTTTCCATTAAGTAATTTGATGAAAAGAGGAGAACTTCAGACATCACAGCTGCAAAGGCCAGGCCCCTTCAGGCAGCACAGAAAAAGTGGGAGGGTGGCAGAAGAAGGGACCCAGGTCTTTACTTAAATTTACTACGGAAAGAGAAAAAAACAAATCTAAATCCCTCAAAAAGTTACCTATAGCAATTTGACTTTACCTGTAGCAGCAAGCAGTTCATATCTTTTGAAGACATATTTTAAATGGAGTATACGGCAAAGTCACTCAATTTATTTAAAACAAAATTTTAACTTATTAATGTATTTCTGAATAAAATTAGGCAACATATGTAACACTGTGCTCCCTCTTGTAACTAAAATTTAATCCTAATCATTAAAGGCCAGCAGAAGGGAAGTGATTAAACAAAGACAATAAGCTGAGATAAAGAGAAAAATCTCACTTTTACAAAGATTGGGACTGCTTTCTAGTCAACCTCTCTTGACTACTGCTGAACTGGGAAACATTTCGAGTTTTGTGACCACAGAACTCTGACTCCCTGATGACACAGGACAGGGGCCAGCAAACTACACACAACAGGCCAAACCCACCTTGCCATCTGTTTGGAAAATAAATAAGGGTTATTGGAACACAGATACTGGCATTCATTTACTATTGATGGCTGCTTTCAGGCAACACCGGCAGAGCGGGGTCCTTGCTGTTGGCAAAGACTAAATTATGTCCCTTCTGGTAATTTATAGAAAAACTCTGCTGATCCTTCCTTGATCTAGAAGAATCTGTAGAGCAATGGTTCTCAATGGAAGTACTACTGGCATTTAAGATGGAACAGGTCTTTGTTGTACAGAGTTGTCCCTTGCTGTGTAGGACAGTCAGCATTCCTGGTCCTCAACAGAATCATCCCCCTCACCCCAATTATTACAACAGAAAATTTTCATTTCAAGTATTCCTTGTTGACAGCACCACCACCACCATGGTGAGAATTTCTGCCTTAGGTACAAATGAGGACAAAGAAGCCAAAATGAGCCAAGAGAAGTGTTTTGTTGGATCACAAATAGTTTTTTTTTTAAAAATGTAAGAGTCTAAATTCCTTTAGATCAAGATCGGCAAACTTTTTTTTTCTTGGTAAACAAAGATGAAAACTATATGGCCAGTGCCTGAAATATTTACTATCCGGCCTTTTATAGAAAAAGTCTGCCAACATCTGCTTTACACATTCACCAGTATTCCCCATTTACTTATTCCCAATTATTTTATTTATATAAACTGCTTGGCTTCTATAGATACAGAGTTTGAGACCCCTGCACAGGTCAGTCTTTCCTGCTCTCTATCCTGTGTGCTAGTAACGAGCATAATTGGATTATCAGGTATAGGGTTTTAAGCATTCCCCAGACAATAAGTAAAATCCCACACAATACATAAACATTCATTTTATGCTTTAGGTATCCAGTGTCTAAAGATCTGGAACGAGTTTAATTTTACATTACTTAATTTGAATTTCATATGAAGACAGGATAAAGAAAATATGACGAATATCTACATGGTTTTAAGCTTCAAACTTTGATGGTCATCTCTGATAAGAAAAATTGCCACGGGAAAAATGTTATGTTGAACAATTCTACTAAAATGCTTCAAATCAAATGAAAATAATGTAGGTGAAAGAAAAGAAGCTCCGTAAGAACAGTTCAACGAGTCATACTTACTCCTTCATTTCTTTGGATGGGGAATTACATGCGGGAAGGAATGCCGCTGGGCTACTTAATTTATCCAGTGTACACGCTGTTCCTATGGCTCGTACCACTAACCCAGATTCGCCTTCCAGATCGAAGCACTGTAAGTACCCAACCACCGCATTTCCTCTCATTTCAAGCACTTTCAAGCCAATCTTCCTCTGCAGTTCGCCTACGAGAAAAGGAAGAAAACTCAGTCGGCCTCATAGCTCCACGTTACATAATATAAAGCCGGATACAGTAGTAACAGAAAAGAGTCCCCCAAATCGTAGATCTTTAGAACTTGAAGGGAACCTAAAAGATTATCCGGTCCAGCCTCCTACTTTCAGGAAGGTAAGATATTATTGGCTACA